TTTTAGAGTCGCTGAATTTGTGGTGACTATAACTTCCCCTGGTGTTCTACCCTTGGCATAGGCTACTTTGGGGAACAAAATGTCGAGCATCCGTGGAACTAAGAGGAAGAGAGCAACCGGAAGCTGGAGAGAGTTGCCTGGTGAGACGTCGCACGCATGGGGAAGATGAGAGACGTGTGTGGGATTTAACGACGAAAATCTCAAAGGCCGAGAACTAGATATAAATGAGGAGCTAATATTAAACGTTCGTCAAGAAAACAGGCCGTATGAATCTGAAAGTGGATTAAACTGGCTCGGTAATAAAAACGAGTGGCGGGATTTTGTGAACCAGGCAAAAAAAGGTGGGGAATATTTTGACCACCATGTGAGAGACTATCAGCTCCTAAAGAAGAACTCTTTTTCAGGGAGTTACGATGATTATTACTTTCTTTACTGTTACTTTTATTGTTATTATTAATGTACTGGGGGCTGAAACGCGCAATTTCACGGGTCTTCGAGACCCTCTGTTCACATCTACAAAATACTTGTTGTAGTAGCCTTTGAAAAAAGCGATACGCCACTGAATGTCTCAAGTGCCCAATTATTGTGTTCCGCGATTTAAATTAAGATATCGAGCATGTGTTGTGGACTGGGCGAGAACAAGAAAACTTGTTGAGTGACAAATCTACTAAAATGCAGCGAAAATTCGGGCTAACGAAGCGCGATTAGTACTCATGCCAGCAACACACCCTGAATATATTTCTTGTAATCTTCTTCGCAGCTACGACGTTTCTTACGCCCCTCCGTCTGGATCTGGGCCGAACGTCTAGTGAATTAATACGGGTTCTGTACACGTACAGCACGTAAAACGCGCGCTTTGACATTAACCACTTCGCCTCCGAGACACTGTCCTTCCGCGTGATTCTTCTGGTCTGCCTGTAGAAGAATAATCCTCCCTTGCACCGAATTAAAAGTGCACAGGACAACCACAATCGTCCAAAACCTAAAGTTACTATCTGAAAAAAAAAGTAAAGTGTTTCTATGTTTATAAATACATCTGTCGCAGAGACATTCGTCTCTTCTAAGTTAGAACGGGGACACTTCCCCTTTTAACATGACCAGCAGGAAGGGTGAAACGTTTCTTGATTTCCAGCCATCTACAGGTCATTTTGTTTAAGTGACCCTCTTTGCCGCCTGACCTCGATCCGTACTACTTTACCCTATTTCGTCACTCCATGCAGCCGAGTCCTGCCAACAGCCGATCAGCCACTCAAGAAACTAAGGTTCATTACAGTGTTAACAACCTGCTTTACCCCGCCTTATCCTACCCTAAAAACAATGACATTTCGAGGTCGATTCAAATAAATGCTGCACTTCTTAATGAGATCAGCACGCACTGTAACGCGTGAGCCGCTTTCGACAAAATTTATAAAGTTTGATTTGGGTTTCCTGATAAGCGGGGCTATAATCTGAAATAAATTCCCCGAATAAATGTGAAAATTCCGATATGAAACGCGTTTTAAATCCGTTCGGATTTGGCGGAAATTAAAACGTGCGGGCACGTGAGTGCGTCCTCCACATTATGTTTCCAATTTACACAGAAATTTGAAGTACGCCTATCAAACGCGATGCTATAAATAATAATAATAATAAAATATAAAGTATATATTTGCATGCCCCGGCAATAAGCTTTCTGTTAACACGTGGTTATCAACACATAAGGCGGTAGAGGCACGGATAAGTGGATACAAAGAAGCCGGTTGAATCCAACGGCATTTCTAAATCAAGTGACGTCGTAGTTCTCACAGCTTAATCTTAGATAAGTGACCCCGACGTCAAAACACAAACGACTCCTTCCCGATAGAGCGGATGCGGGAAAACAAATTTAATTTGACTTCGTTGTCCAAATGTTCGCCCGCGGAGCAGCCCCTATTCAATGACACGCGGGGCCTCGAAGACGAAAAGCGCGGATTCTTTGCAACTACGACAGCAGAATAATATTGAAACGAATCTTAACTGAAAAAGGTGCGACGACACGGACCACTGACCTGCTCTTGTGCACAAGGTAATGAATTTTGTGTACAGCAAAGCTGTACATTTCTTGACCAGTTGAGCGGCTATGGTCATTTCGAAACGTACTCTGTTCCACGGCTGTACGGCTCTACGTAACAAAGATCAGACGCTACCCCATATGGAAGCCTTTCCGACCTACTGACACAATTCCTAGATCTTGGGTCTGGTTTGTCTCGTGTATTCCAGCAACACGAACGGCGATACCATTTGAAGACCGTTCCTCCCAGAGATCTGAAGCAACGCTCGCCGGCGTTCAAGCACCACCACAACGCACGCTGTATAATGCTTAATGGTTCTGATCGTAGTAACACAATACGGCCCATCACTTTAGTTAGCCCCACGATCAATTTACGGAAATGCCACCCTGTGAATTTTAAGCCGTACGTTCGTAAGAAGCTGACAAATATCTGTTCGAAGCTGATAAATATCCAGAGATTTGTATCTCGAGCTGGGATAGGTTGGCAGGGCGAGCGGATCCCTTGGGAGGCTGTTCGGGGTGATCGAAGTATTGCAAGCTGGAGGTTAACCTCAGAATTTATTGCAAATAAATGTGGTACAATTTGTTGAGAAACCCAGGATGGCGAATATGTTGAAAAATAGCTGGACACTTGCTGTATCTGTTGCAATAAATATTTCCATGAAATTGTGTTTTGTTTCTGTAAACGGCCCCAGGGAAACTTACTTTTGGGACGCGCCTCGTATATACTACGTAATCATGGTTTGTATCTTTTGTTTTCTTGAATGCTGTTCTCGAGAGATTCCTGGAAATTGTAAGGCAACATGAATGTTGTGTCGGTGGTACCGCTAGAGGACTTCATTCTTCGCCATCGTAAATATAAACATAATCCTATGAAAAGGGATTCTCATACCTACAGTCTCCGCTACATAAATCCCCCATTATAGCAATACAGATTCAGGATAATCGCCATGTCATTACGTAGGTCTCCCGGCGCGACTTGATTTGTACACTCAACGCAGAGAAGCATCCAAAGATGTCGCTGTCTGCATGCACCAAAATGTCTGATAACGCGAAACATTTCCGTTAACGGTCACACAATGTGGACGGTTACTGGAATTTTGTCATCATTTTTTGACAGCCTCCGTTCTTGCCATGTGACGCCGTGATGGATGATCAACAACCATAGAATCTCTAGTAAACGGCGTTCACTTGCCACGCATTGCGTATCCCGTTCTCTCATTACATGCTTTTTTAATATCGATTTTTGCAAAGAAGGGTTAATCAGTTTTTAAAACCCTATCCCTGGATTTATGCAAACGAACGTGATTTCCAGTCCTTTATTTGTAAATTTGAAAATAAATTCATTGAACACTGCACTATCCGTAAATTTATTCATTTCTAAACAAACTTCATACTTTGTCGGTTTACAGAGAAGACCCACAGGTATCCCGGCAAATCCAAAAATACAGCCGAGAGTCGCATTGCGCTGCTCCATTGTTTATCACTAATAAAAAAGAGGACGTGCTGCCTATATTTCAGGCGGAACTCGTGTTCGGAGCAAAATCTTTTGTCCTCCCATCTTATATAAAAAAAATCTAAAGATTTAAATACACAAAAGTGTAATTTTGTCATTTGTTCTGTATTGGTACGAAACTTGGTCTCTCACTTTGAAGGAGGAATATAGATTAAGGGTCTTTGATAACAGAGTGTTGAGGACGATATTTGTACCTAAAAGGGAGGAAGACGGGTAATGGAGAGCTTCATGGCCTCTAATCTTAACCTGATATTGTTCTGGTGATTGAATCGAGGATGAGGTGGCGGAGGGGAGGTGTGTATACAGGATATTTAGTTGGCGGCCTGAAGGAAAGAGACCGCTGGGAAAACCTGCACGTAGATAGGAGGATAACATTGTGACAGACCTTACGGTAGGCTTTTGTGAACACGGTGATGAACCTTCGGGTTCCATAAAGAGAGTGGTCTATCTTTAACAATCGAATTTTAAAAGACTGTCTTGCTCCATAGATTGAGTGAGTGATATGAAAGTAAGGAAACTGGTTATAAACAACTGACTAACGTTAATATTTCATAATAATGATAACTCACTAATAATTAACAAATAACTACTGGATGAACTAACCATATGAGTAGAAGCTATGTAAATAAGTTAAATATTAATAATAAACTAAGTATCAGGAGAATTAAAACCAGTATAAACCTCTACTAACCTTTGTTGGAAAGGAAGGCATCTCATGTTCTTTTCTTTTTCAATCCAAGGTCTAGACAGCTGACCCAATATTTTCCTCAGTAGCCCCATGTCTCGTCTCTCACATATTTCGTAGTTCAAGCCTTGCTCAGAAATCCGAAATTTAAACAAGCTCTCCCCATTTTATTATCCGCACTTATTTTGCCCCTTATTCAGTAAAAATGTCTGATTATGTTTTCATACATAAGTGTCTTAACCGATCTGTTGCACTACAAACTTTTAAAGGTCTCCGAGATATAATCTCTGCTGCTTGCATCCGTTTTCTGGTGTTTCGTTTTAGCTGTCAGTGACTCTTTATTTAGTTCAGTGATTAACTGTTAGTTATTTGTAACCATGTTAATAAGCCACGTAGTTAGGTACATTTTTAGTTACTTCGTCATACAGCCATTCAATTTGTTAGCTTGTAATTTAGAAACAAAATATTAACCACCAATTTATGTACCTACTTATCTAACGAGATGGCTATTTTTTTTGGATGTCTTGTTGCAGTTGACTATTTATCTAAATTGTCAGATAAATTGCTAGCTGTTTAGTCAGATGTTTTGGAAGAACATTTTTATTCCTGAAGATGGAAGTCGTATTTCCCTCCGAAAGGTTGGTATATACCTGCAAGTCTATGTGTGTGTATATGTAAGCTTATACATACGCATAAAACAGGTATTGTTTCAAATCCTTTAACAGGATTAAAATTAAAACGGTTATATCAACAAACAGTCATAAATATTACCTAGAAAGGCTCAGAGTCCCTTCGATACAAAATGATTACCAAAAAACGTAACATTTGTTTATAATAAATTTAGATGTGTTACGTCATTTCCTTTTATAAGTTGCCCTGATATTTTTCCTTCTACTTTTACAAATTAGGTATCTGGCCTATTCTAACTCAGAATTAAGTCTCGAAATTAGGAATTATGCATTTCGTTAAAAATCCTCTAACAAGAGAATGACTCCTCATGAGGGCTCTAATTTTCACACGGCAGAACAAACATACGAAGACAAACTTCCATGCCTCGAGTAGGACTCGAACGCACAGTCTCAGTGTTTTGAGTGCACTTCTTGACTACGTTGCCGTTATATATAGCTCACTGTATGTGTATGAGTAAAGTAAATTCGGTGCTGGAATATCTTAGCAGTGTTTCAGGCAGTGAACCTTGTGTTAGAATCATCATATTACGTATCAGCACATCATTTGAAAAACAAAAGCAGACTTTTTTTTTTTTGTATTTCAAGATTAAAGATCGCAGAAATTTACAAAGCAAAATTCATTATTACAAAAGAGGGATTTAAAATATATGGAATTACATTTTCATTATAAAAAGGATGTAACAATTTAACGGCTTCCATGATAATAAGTACAACACAAATATTATTCAGCTGTGAAATTTACGGTAATATTATAAATGAAACATTTACATGCCTCCTTAACTTTATTGCCTCTTACAAAACTAAAATAAAAACAATTGTAGTATTGTTTCATGTTACTGTTTTATTATGTTCAAGTATAAATGTTTTTATTTCGAATTTTTAAAGCTTATATTCCTTTATAGTTTAGAGTTTATAGTTTAGATGCGTCATGTTTGTGTTTTCAATTGATACATATATTTATTCTTCAAGTCTATAAACAAACCATTTTATGTTCATGTTTAAAATTAAAATTGATATAAATAATTCGCGCTACTCATCGTTTTCTCGATGTTACAATTTGCGCTATATATTACAACATGTTTCGATGTCTCAGCATCATCTTCAGGTTTATTTTTTAAAACTATTCAATATTTTCTAATGCACGCTTTTCGGTAATTGTAGATTGTAGGTTGTAGTTGTGGATGTTCCTTTTATCTTCTGATTCTTTGCATATTATGTGGCGTGTTTATATTATTTTGTTCATTATTTCTGTAAAATTATCAACAATATAATTGACATTATTAATATTATTTATATGTAAATGAGTTTGGATATCGTTATAAAAATTCATTAAGCAATATAGAAACACAATAACATACCAGGAGTTGGATGTGTCGTGTCCTCGGCTGGACAGGTCTGATCACGTGAATGTCAGTGCACAGACAAGTTTGGTGTACTGAATGGGTCGTATATATAGGTACTATATTCCTATTGGGGCAGCGGGGATAAAAGACTATCCACCGTCTATTGTTCTCATCCGTACGGCATTATGGGTGTAGTTCCCAGTAACATTGTAATGAAACCCACGGACTCGAAGACAAAGCCAGAGAAATCACTGGTGAATTTATTGTCAGTGCAGATGTCATATTGAAGAAATGATTCCCCTGTTCTAGAAATTATTATAGCAGGATATCATAAATTGGTACAGAATGCAACATATTATAATGCGGAAATAAATAAAAACGAAAACGCTTTAAGATGACTGCTGTCTTCCAGGTTGTTTTGCACCGTCTAGTCTGGTAGAAGTTTACAAACGTTTCAGAGGTAGTATCTGCCTCCATCATCACGGCGAGG